CCATTACGACGTTGTAATCTCGCGCCATCTGAATCCAGCCTTGTGATGCGGGGCGAGAACCCTCCCACCAGCTCTCCCAAGTGGGGGCAGTGCGGCGTGACAGTATTAGCGATGCCGTTAATACCGCGGACAGATGCGTCCAAGGGAGAGGAGGTGGCATTGTCCAGCCACAGCTTGTCAACAGTTCGCAATCCCTGACACCGTGCTGACGTTTCCACTGAAGGGCTCGGTGCTCACGCAGGGCGCCCTCTGGTCCAATGGCGGGCGAGCGGACGAACGGACCCTTGGGAGGCTCCCGACCCACTGCCTTCCCCCCCCCCGCAGAACCAGAACACGCGTGGGTGTCTGTGGTTAAGTAAGGAAAAGCGCAGGGCCCAGAAGTCCTATCCACAAGCAACTTTTATCTCAAATGTTTACCTGTTGGTTGCTAGAGTTCTACGTTACAAGAACCTCAAAAAAAAGAGCCTCAAAATACAGCTCAGTGAAAGCCAGGTTTCTTTCAAGTCACCCATCTCTTTTCTTCTCAAGGATGGCATTTGACCAGCAGGGACAGGCATGGTGTCCCCTGGCACAGGGCCGGGCATTCGCTGAGACCACCCCCCTCCATCCTTCGCCCAGCACCTTCTTGGGCGCTGCAAGGAGCTCTGGGTGGCGGAGACGAGCTGAGGCTGCCTTTGGACTGCGGCCCCCTGGGCCAAGGAGGGGGATTCACACTGACAGCCACGGGTTTGGAGGGCCGGCCGCCCGGGCAGAGCGGGAAGGGACTGCCGTGTTCGGATCCTTCGGAACCGAACGGTGCTGAGCCCACAGGGGAAGGGATGGTGCGGGCCTGGTGGCTGAGGCAGGTGCTGTAGCAGCGGATCCCGTGACAGGTGCTGGTTGACCCAAAGGTCTGGTCTCAGGGGCCCGTGGTGGGGGCTTCTGGGGAGCAGACGGCATTACAGGCTGGGTGGGAAACTCAGCTAGGGCTGTGTCGGAGCAGCCTGACTTCAGGATACATGTAGCAGACGAAAGCCACCAACTGCCTGGAGCCGAGACCAGTAGAGCCTCTCCCTGGACAGGCGGCGAGGCTCCAAAGGGCCGTTCGGTCATTTGCTCCCAAGGGCAAAAGGACCCTGCTCAGTTGACTGCCAACCGGGGGGCGCAGAGTGTGGCTACTGCTTCATTGACACGTAGCTTTGCTCTGGTCTGTGGAAATGCACGGGAGGGGGGGCTTCCAGACCCCAGTTTTCCATCTGGCAGGGCGTGTGGGACACAGGGAGAAGATGGGGGGTCAGGGAGAGGGCTTCCGGGGGGCTGGCAGGGGGGGCAGGCACGCTCCCCGTTTAAAGGGGTGCAGACAGGGCACGACCAGCTCCCGCCCTCCAGCTCTTTGCGAGGCTGGCTGTCCTGACTGTCTGGCTTATTGCTCCAACAGCACTGCACCGAGACCCAGTTAAATACAGAAGGAGGGCCCAAGGCCGAGTGCGGGCCGTGTCCGAAAGGACTGGGCACTGCGGCCCGAGAGCCTTCGTGTCTGACCTTCGCACTCGGGTTGCGGCTGGTCCTCTGCCAGTGTCCTGCACAGAAGAGCCGGCCCCAGGGGCCCGCGGGCCCCTGGTCTGTGAAATGGGAACAGGAGCCTCTGTCCCAGTGGTTGTTGCCCAGGTCAAGAAAGGTCACCTGTCAGAGGACCGAAAAGTCATTACAACAAGGAACCGAGAACCAGTGGGGAGAAGGCCGTAGAGTGTAAAGTGGAAGGTGCCTCTGTGAGAAAACTGGAATGGTTTCAAGTGTGCGGCTGTCTGGCCAAACTAGACTCTCACCTCCCGAGTGCCTGCGATCACCCGGGGCTTCACCCAGGACCTCAGGTGACCCGTGACCTCAGGTGACCCACGCCATCGTCCTGCGGGTGCTGCCACCATGCTCAGATTTCAAGACAGAGGCTTGCTGTCAGGAGGGGCCGACCTTCACACTCCGGTGTGACTGAGCTCGCACCTGAACTCAGGTCTGTCTGGTCAAAAACCTGAGCGCCTTACTGCCGACATGCCCCCACCAAAAGCCTTTCCTACGGGGACAGACACGGTTGGGAACTTACAGCGGTGGCAGCGGGCGATGCGCAGAAGGGCAAGGCACAAGCCACAGTGTTAGGAGGTCTCTGTCTGGTGACACACACGTTTGGGCCCTTCCCCCCCCCCCCCCCGCCAGCAAAGAGCCAGAGCAGCGCCTGATGAGGAAAACTCACTCTTCTGTTTTAAGAATTAAGACGGAGGGAAAAAATCTCACTGTAAGGATCATTTTTAGTCTATAGAGGTCCATCACGCTACTTCTTTTAAAAACTGGGTGAACACACACGGAAGTTACCATTCAAACCCTTTCTCGTACACAGTGCGGTGGTATTGAGCGCGTTCGCACTGTTGAGTGGCCACCACCGTCATCTCCAGGAGAGTCTCATCCTCCCAAACTCAAACTCGGTCCCCGTCTAACACGGACCCCCACTCCCCAGGCCCAGCCCCTGGCGGCCACCGTCCCGTCCCGTCCCTATGAGTGTGCCCTTCCCGGGTCCCTCAGGTCCGTGAATCACGCCGTGTTTGTCCTTCCCTCTTCTTAGCAGGATGTGTTCAAGTCCCGCCCATGCCGCAGCAGGTGCCACACTGTCATTCCTGTTTGAAGTTACACTCCATTCTGCTGCCGGCAGAGACCACGTCTGGTCGCCGTTCATCTGCTGGTGGGCACTGGAGTTACTTCCACTGCGCAGCTCTCGGCAACGACGCCACCATGGACGTGGGCGTGCGCACACCGGCGTGCGACCTGCCTTCAGCTCCTTGGGTGGCACAGCTGCCCGCTGCGCCCCTCCCACCGCGCCCCTCCATGAAAGCAGGCCCCTGACTCGGGATGAACGACCCACTTGAGTGGAGAGACCAAGGCACTTACGAGATGCAGGAAAGGAAGAGAGACGGTTTATACGCGATCAGACAGTGTGGGCTGTGTCTAAGGTGGACTCACGTCGACAGGGGCCATGGCGTCCGGGCCAGGCTCTCCGCGGCCCCAGCAGGACACACTCGGGCCTGACCAGCTGCGGCTGCTGCCCAGACCGGGCAGGACCCGGTGGGCCTGGTTTCTGGCTTTTGAAGTTTCAAAAGCCTTCAAGTTTGCAGAAGGAAGACTAGTTATCGGATGTAAGCTGCTCTCTGCATGAATAGCAGTAGAAATGCTTTCAGGGATCAACAGTCATACTTTCCCCCGAATGAGGAGAATTTTATGAAGAGCCCGGAAAGTGAGCGAAGACAGAACCGGCTTCTCCCGTCACGCAAATGAAAGCGAACACTTTCTTCCTGAATTCAACCTTTTCCCCTTTCATAGAAAAGCAACATATATTTTAACTTGGGAGAACTTCTAGTCACGTGTATTTTTAAAGCAGAAAAAAAGTTAAGAAATAATAACGCAGTCAATGTGAAGTTACACTTTGTTAAAGATGGGGACAGAGGGAAGCAGGAAGTAAACGGCGCCGTGGGACGCGGTGCCTGGGCTTGAGGCGGGAGAACACAGCCGTTTTCTGCAAGGGACGGACGCCCTGCCCACGAGGGACGGGCTGGCACAGGGTCCCCTGGGCCAGAAAGGCAGGCTCCTCCCTGGGGACTCTAACCCCGGGCGTGGGCGCCTTCAAGGTCATTTCCTGTCCCCGCGGGAGGAATGAACATTGTGGGCGAACCAAAGCCTGGACAGCAGTTGCTCGTGTCTGTGAAACGCGTTTCCCATCAGCACATCGCTCCCCATCATTGTTCCCAGTGGTGGTCTCGGCTGGAGGGGGGCATTGTCACTGCCTGTCCCTGAGTCTGAGCCGCACTGCCCGCCTCTGCCCGGGGAGCGCCGAGCTCCACACGCTTCTCTGTCTTCCTCTGTTCTGCAGGTGTGGACAGTGCAGACCTGGTCAGATACACTGTGCCACACATGTGTGCGCGTGTGTGTGACCACGTGCATAGGCATGTGCACACACAGCGTGTAGTGTGCGTGCATGGCCACACACATGCACATACATACAACATATAGTACGTGTGCATGACCAGATGCACACACACATACGTGTGTGTATTCCAAGACCAGGCCAGCCCCCGCATGGTCAGCAGGCAGGGAGCCGTGTGTGGACAAGGGGTCTCTGGAACCTGAGGCCTCGATGGGCAACACACCCAGCTATTCAGGTGTCCATCTCTGATAGCCACAGTAGTTCCACAGGGGGGACTCTGGACACACGTTTCATCAATAAGGTTTCAAAGCGATTCCTCTTCGAAGGAACAGATCACGGCCCTTTCCCTGGGTGCTCACCCTGGGCCCTGTGAGTCCTCCCGGGGGCGGCCGGAGGCAAAGGCGCAGAGGGCCCGGCGGCCGCCCCCCTTCACCGCGGCGGCGGAGAGAACTACTTCCCGACACAGCGTTCCCTGGGCTCCACAAAGAACATCTCAGTGCCCGGCCGCTCCGCGTGTGAAGGATGTAAGAGACACTATGTCTACTGTTCATCCGCTAATGTCCCCAAATGTCACCAAGGTAATTACTGGGCTGACATTTATGGGGCGCAGCTGGACGCTGTTCGGTTAATATACAGTCTGCCTTTGGCAGACACTGCGCTGCACTGTGTGCCCACAGTCACGGCCCCCGGGGGACGGACGTGTCCCGGGAAGGCACCTCCGCCCCCGCCGGCAGCCGGCGAGAAGGGGAAGGGAGGACGGCTGCAGAGCCAGTGTCTCTTTCTCAGTATTTCCACACGGGATTTTTACAGGTGTTTCTAAATACAATTCACCAGACAGAACAACACCGCTATTGTCCTCTTTTGTTGAAACAGATTGCGTTTAACCCTGGAGTCTGCATTCCCAGAGCTCACGCTGTGAAAACATTTGCCTCCGCAAACTCCTATCGCTGTCGAAGAACAGGAGAGCGGCAGAGCTGGGTCTGCGCCCAAAACGAATCTAATAAAAACACTATCTTTTCAGAACCACAGGCATCGCAGGCTTTTCCCACAAACTCACAGGCAAATCGGAGCGCCGCCTGCCGACTCAGAACCGTGCCCAGCGGGTTGGTGGCCAGGCACTGGTACGTGCCGACGTCTCGGTCTGGGTGCGGGCCGCCGATCACCAAGCTGCCTCCCTCCAGCCTGTAGTGAGAACTCGTGGAAAAGTCCAGGTCTGTGCCATTGTGCCTCCACCTTCAAGAGAAGAAAAGCGAATTATGCTTCTAGGATAAAGAATTGGCCACTGTTAGTCACACACAACGCGCACTAGTGATTCCAGGGACTGATAAAAACCCAGCGTGGTTGCATGTGGAGACAGTCCTGCCAGGTCCGCCAGAGGAAGCTGGCTTCACGACTCAGCAGGATCAACAACTAGGGGGTGTGAAAGGTGTACTCTTCAGGAACGACAAACACCCCCCCGAAAGTGTCCAAAAAGACCACAGAGCCCTTGACAGGAGAAATGAAACCCAGACATTCTGCCAACAGCACCCGCCTTCCTGGTTCTCAAGCATCTTTTTAAATCCCCACGGCTGACACTGCAAAATGGAATGTCGAGGTGATTCAGGGACAGAAATCGGGGCGAGCGTGTTACAAATGGCGCAGGAGAAGGCGCTGGGGCTCCCCCGGGGCCGGCGTGCAGCCGATGACAGCCAGCCATCCGAGGGACACAGCAATCTCCTCCAATGTCTCCCCTGAGGGACTAATCTCGCAGAAAACATTTCCACGGGGCTTACAAGGGCCAGACTAACAGGATACTTTAACCAAGCTGACGCGCAACTGGAGAGATTGCTATTTAGCCAGCCCGGTCTCTTGGCTTAATTATCAGTGAACAACCCTCTGGCCCATGAATTTGGCGGGAGGAAGGCTTCCCAGTTATTTATTTATCTGAAAGAACCACGAGAGGCTTTAGAAATTCCACTTGGTCGTTTGAAGAAAAGTGGATATCCACTAACTATCTCTAAATTTCCCCACCTTGCCCCTCCCAACGTTCATCAAGATATTCAGACTTTCTGAAGTATGGATATTGCATATTAAAGAGATGCCTTCCTAGTATGTTCATATAAACCGTTGGAGAATTAGACACTTAAAAATACTGAACGAAGAAGATCGGTCATTCGGACAAACAAGCGATGGCCTGTTCCCGTGGACTAGAACCCATTTCCACACGGTGAGTCCGCAGAGCCTCCCCCACTTTGCCGGGTGCTCCCGGTCACACTAAGATCGGATTAAGGATGTTTTGGTGGTTGGTGGCAAATTGTTAGAAAGCAATGACATTTTACTGAATCCTTCCAAAAGTCACGGACTTTTCCAGGAGCATCTTGAACCCCCCACCAGGGAAAAGTTCTGGCGAATGTCTACCCCAAAAGAAAGATGGACTTGGGTAGCTAACAACCTCTTGGGGATCTTTCCTGGGTAGACCCTAAAAAGATCGGAAGTGATTGGCCAAATAACCGATCCATGAGAGGGTTTGGACCAACTCGTCACGTTTCAATTATTTACCCAATTCTTGTACATGTCAACTTCTAGGAAGTTTGAGGACAATGATCAACAATATCACGCTTCCCTTTCCTGGACTTTCTGTTACTGTCTTCTTTCCCTGGAGAAGTGTGCACCGTTTCTCGTTCCTGGTGCTGGCAGAAGCCCGTGGAGAAGCGTTCTGTCTCCAGGGCGGTCTCACCCCCGCCCCCCGTTCTCCCTGTCAAGGCGGTCGCACTGCCGTCTGGGGGCACAGTCTCTGGACCTCACGTCTCCTTTCATTTCAAAGCAAAGAGACGCAACGCTCACTTCGCCAAGTCCCTTTAATTTTGAAATCAATCACTGGAATAACTGCTGTCATCATTACACGCTCCTAATTAAGCTCAGTAATTGTTTTTCAACACAGACTCCAAGTGCCTGGCTTGGCGGCAGCAAACGAATTTCCCCGCAGCCTCCCCTAATCCCCCTAATCACTGCAGCGCCGAGATCATTAGACTGCACACACAGAGCAGGGGCTCGGCGCCCGGGTGGGCTCGGTGCAAACCAGCGTGGTCCAGTCGATGGGGAAGTCGCGGCCACGAGGTCGAGTGGGCGTCGGGCACACGTCACTGGTCGGATCGAACACTGAGAATTTTCCTGGGATGCCAACAAGGAAATACGCTTTAAATGATTATTCTAAGCATTTAATTAATATCATACTGATTCTAGGAAACATAATGGGTTTTAATTAAAACTGTGACCTTTTGCTGGGAACACCCTTCGCTGCGGAGAAGTCAAGCCCTCAGTCAAGAATAGGGTGTCTTGGGGGGGGCCAAGTCCAACTGGGGTCCCTGGAAAAGGCAAGTCTGTGCATTGTGTGTGTGTGTGTGTGTGTGAAAGCTGGGCCTTGCTTTCGAACTACATGGAGCGCTTGCGCCAAGTGTCCATTTCTGGGCCCATCCCTACCCCTCTGAGAGAACACCAGGAGCTAGAGTTTTGATAATCTCGCTGGGGGTGGCAGCGGGCCCTGCGTGTGGTACCCCTGCCCTGTGGCAGGGTCTCGGGTCTGGGTATCCTTGCAGGAGTCCTCTAGTTTCCGCAGACATCACACCCGTCAGTCCTAAAATGAGCTCAGTCTCGCACCCCCTGTTTTAAGCTCCTGGGGCTTTAAGATCCAGAGCGACAGTGAGTGGCTGGCTGAATGAACTGGAGAGAGGACCCTCATGTGGTGGCCGGGTCAAGGTCAGATCTGGCACACAGCCTCTGGGACAGTCCAAGACCTTTCGTTCTGATAGGGAACACAGCCTTCGTAGAAATCACTGTTAGGATGCTTGATTTTTCCAAACAACATACGTGCTCTGAGCTGAAACTCCGCTCACTGCAACCTGATGACCGAGGACTGTGCAGGCAGGAGCCGCCTGCCCACGCCCCACCTTGGCGCGGCTGCCCCCCTTCCCTTTGCAGAGCCTCCTGGCCGGACTTTAATGCTCATGTTTCTGAAAACACAGAGCGGTCTTTCCCGTGGGGAAGCTTTTGTCCAGACTTGTCTTCCTGTCTCCCTGCACGGAGTCCTGTTGGTGAAGGTGGTTTTGTTCCCCTGGAAGCGGCTTTAGAAACGAGCTGCTTTGAACCTGTTTCCCAAGTTCTGCTCTAAACTTCACTCGTTTTCTCCCATGAGGCTTCACTTGCTAAAGGCCCTTGATTAAAAAAGAAAACACATCTGAAAACCAGATGCACCTCCTCCCTTTAGGGACCGGGAGGCTGGTGGGGGAGCCAGGAATGATCACCCCAAGGTCACACCCGGGACGGCCCTGCCGGCCGAGAGCCCCAGCTCTTCCTTGCGTGGCATGACCTCTTCACACCACACCCGCATCACCTCGAGTCGCGATGGCCTCCGAGTCACGGAGACTTCCCTGTATCGCACACACACGCACACTCACGCACACACAATCCAAGGTGAATGTGGTCAGGAGCGAGATTCTGTTACGAAATCTGAGTCGGACAGGGTCACGTTAAAACCAAATTTCACACTTTGTTGCTAATGCGCATCATCCAAGATACTGCCGCCTTTGGCTTTATTATCAAGGAAGCAGGCTCTGAGCCGGATGTGTCAGCAGCAAAAACTCAGTTCTTTCCTCGCTTTTTCCAAAGTCTCTGGCCTGAGGGTGTTTGATGCTGTGGCGTTAGAGGCGGGCTAACCCGGATTACGGGAGTGGAGTGAAACTGTCTGTCTTCAGCCTCCTAATTTACAAACATCTTAGAAACAAAAGTCATTTGAACAACACGGGGATTGGTGGTCTCTTCATAAATAAAGCTAATCAGTGAATTAGCCAGAGAACCGCTGTTTTACATTTTTTCTGCCTGTTATAAACCCATAGATATTTTCCTATAAGTACCTAATTGATAGATGGACTCATTGCTCTTACACCTAGCAAATGCCCCTCATCTTACAGGGATTCGTATATGCTTTTCCTTCTTTCACCAACTCCACCACCCCTGGTGAGCAATCCCATTAGCTGTCAAAAATAAAACTACGACATTAAGTATTAGGGGATGTGACAAATGCGTTCGTCAGATTTTTACGTATTTAGCCACATGTTAAATGAACTAAGACAGCTCATTATTTAGAAAAAACAAACAAGCCATCTGTAAAGTGAGCGGTTCCCCGCCCCCACAGCCACTCCCCTTCCCCGGGGCCTCAGCAGGAGTGCGGGGAGGACATGAGGGGACACAGCCTTTCAATGATTCTGTGGTTAAAAAAAAATGCCACTGAAGTTAGCCCGACAAAATGCAAGGAAGAATTCATCTTTATTTTGTGCAGTAAGTAACTTGGCCAATTAATCCAGAGAATTTCAAGATCAAAGCAGTTATAAATAAAACTCAGGTATTTTAATGCAACATAAAAAGTAGACAAAAACAGCTCGTGGTGCCACAGTGGGCTGAAATTGTTACTTTTCCTGTGTGTTGACTCAACTTCCCTGCTAAAAATGAAGATTTTTTAAAAGCGCTTTTAAAGCCCGGTTACAATAATCATATTCATATTTATTCGGTCTTTTCCTATACTCACTTTGCAATGCAAGTCTTGCCAACGAAATCTCATTATTATTTACACAAGCATGAATATACACGCATATATTTTTGAAACTGTGAATTCCATCCACCCGTGGATCAAATTCCACCTTTCCTGCAACCTTCCTCCCTATTATTCCACAGGTTGTGTGAGAGAAACAAATGCAACTATTTTTTTGTCTTGCCCAGAACAAAATTATTGCTCTGCCTTGAGGGTCCATAGCTGTTTTCGATCCTTTTTTCTAAAGTCTGTGTTTTTGGGGTGATGGGACCTCTCAGCGGAGTCACAGAAATTTGTCAGATACAATTAAGGGTCCCTTCCGACTCACTGCGTTTAGGGGACATTTCCACACTTTCGTTCTCACCGTGTGTGGGGGCGGCAGCAGAGGCAGCAGCCCCCCCCCCCTTTGCGGGGTGGGGGGAGTACAGAACAAAGTGGAGCTTCAGTCTTTCAAATTCGGGAAGCAGATCTTCTTCCTTTCCTTCCTGCTCTTCCCTTAACCTCTCTACTATTTTCTACCTCCTCTACCCTCTCCCTCCCTCTCTCCTTCCTTCCTCCCTCCCTTCCCCTCCTTTCTTTATTCCCCTCTTCTTTCCCTTTCTGTTCCAACCTCGCCACGGCACTGCCTGGCACCAATGTCACGAATAACTCTTCCAAGAAAGTCTCACCAACAGACGGAGCCCTGGTTGTGGCCGCCTGGGGAGGGGTGGGTGGCCGCTGCCGGAAGCATGGGGGGCTTTGGGAACAAATGTCTGCAGCACCATTGGGCAGGTGGGCACAGAGCAATACACCTCAGTCAAAATCCACTGAGCTGCACCCTGCGAATTCGGGTCCCTGGAGCAGTTTTGGGGGTGTGGTTTCCCTGGAAGACAAAGAGTAAACCGACCGGGGTGGCGCCCAGGGGCGAGCCCTCACCTGTAATGCGGACGGGGGTGGCCACTCGCGGCACAGCTCAGGGTGATTTCAGACTGTGACAGATCCAAGGGGAAGGTGACATCCTGTGGCTCCTGGGTGAAGGAGGGGCAGCTGAAAGGACCGCCACCTGGGGAGAGACGGAGAGTCCCAGGTGAGAACCTGCAGCTCAGCCCGAGGCTGCGTCACCTGCCAACACGTTTAATTAACGCTTGGACTTTGAAACAATCTCACACATACAGAAAATCCTGCAAGAACGGCACAAAGACAATTTTTGCAAGAGAACACCCGTGATCTGAAATAAATGAGCTTGCATCTCCTACGAGGGGATTCGTGTGCGTAACCACAGTAAAACCTCCAACGCCCAGAAATGAACACCCATTCAAGACCGGCCTCTCTTCAAGTGCCAGTTCACCCTTTTCCTAATAAAACCTTCAGGGCCAGAGGAGCCACGTGAGAACCACAGATTCCATTGAAGGGTCTGTCTGTTTGATCTCCCTCAACGTGGAATTGCCCCCCTGGCTGTGACCCCTGAGAAGATCACTCAGGTCACGAGGCAGCGATTCCGGGAAGTTTCATCTCACCGAGGGCAGTGGGGCCGGGAGCCTTGGCCGGGCTGGGGGCCAAGGGTGCAGTTACGGGGTCTACAAAGACTTATGAAAACTCTAGTGACCCAGCGAGGCTTCTTTTTAAATTACCACACGGAAAAGCCTCCCCTTGCCCTGCAGGGGGCAGCGGTCACTGCAGCACGAGCAGGAGGGGAGACATCGGAAGGGACCTGTACAGCCATCGCGCAGCGACAGACCCCACAGACGGGCAGCGAAGGGCCCGAGAGACCGGCCGCGCTGGCGGTGGGCAGATACCCGCTCCAGGAGAGAGCAACTCAAGGAACCCCTCTCTAAGCTGTTTCATGCTGTAGAATAAGAACACGAATTTTAAAAATAATGTAACAAAAAATAAAATGAAAAAGTGGGACAAAGAAGGAAAAAATAAGAACAGTATGAAGATGAAGAGAAATCCAATAGAATCAGGTACATTAGGGGGCTGCAAACTTCAGGATAGATTGCAACCAAAACGGCAGCTTTAAAAAACTAATAAGTCAATTAAAATGGGCAAGAAACAAAACAGACAAGTACTGAAAATTCAATTACTGACATAAAAGGATAATTTGAGGTGATTGTAATGAATGCAGTCGAGAACACAGACAATTAAGCGATCGAAGAAAAGCAATGAATAAAAAAGACAGACGGGTAGAATGGCCCACTGAACCACGTCCTTGGCATGGCAGACGCGGAGAATCACACCTCCTTGGAGGGTGCCATCGGGAATGTCCCCTGTAAACGGATGGGACACCCAGTGCCAGGGCCCCACCGGCCGACTGGCTGGCCCTCGAAGCTGAAGACCCTGCCAGAAGGCCAACCTGAACCAGCAAATCGTCCTAAAAGACCGAAAATCAGCAGGCTCATCTCTGGTGAAATAGCAGCAGCCCCTGTCCCAGAAGACAGCAAGGCACAGTCCCGCTGTTCTGAGTAACAGGGGACAAGACTGTTACCCCCCCCCGTGGAATCTTCTAACTGTAATAGCATGCAGAGCCCTGCCCCGTGGGGTGAAGGAGAGAAAACCTCTCACAGGAGGGAACGTGGAGGGCTCATCCCGGGGAAGCCCCCCCTGAGGGGCACAGGGTCCTGAGGATGCCCCGAGACAGCGTCATTGACACACGCAGCCCGCACCACGCTGGGGCCAGGGGTGAGGCAGACGGAACCGCAGTAACGGGCTGATGAGAAGACACCCAGGCAAACGAAGAAGCTAGGCCTGGGGGAGGGCAGTGGGAGTGCTCACGCTCTCTTCCTGCGCCGAGAAAAGTCAAAAGCAGAAACCATATACGTACATGTGTGTATGCGTTTATGTGTGTGTGTATTATTATATATATATCATTTTCTTAAAGATTTCATTTATTTATTTTTAGAGAGGGGAAGGAAGGGAGAAAGAGAGGGAGAGAAACATCCACGTGTGGTTGCCTCTCACACGCCCCCTACTGGGGACCTGGCCCACACCCCAGGCATGCACCCTGACCGGGAATCAAACCAGTGACCCTTTGGTTCCCAGGCCGGTGCTCAACCCACTGCGCCACAGCAGCCAGGGCATATACAAGTCACTTTTAAAGCATTCTGACTTCTTAGTGTGAGTCAGTGTGTCCTTTACCCTCAGGGAAATCTTTAAAAATTACGTTTTGTCTCAAATCATTTATTAGAAGTCCCAAATCTCTTGATTAAACTTGTTTACTTGTTTACTTGTTTACTTGTTTTAAACTAAAACACAGTTTAGTCGCGACGTTAAAAGTAGGACCTATGGCGTGACCCATGTTTATGAAAGTGTTTTTCTCTTTCCAGGCATTTACGTATCTCCACATTGTCTACCTTCCGTGTTTACAGACAGAGAAAGAGGGCTGCCATGTTACCAAATTTTAACAAGTTTGACTACTAAAGTCATTACATTTGAGTAAGATTTTTTAAATTTTCTTTGCATAGCTTTTCATAGTTTGAGTGTCTGAAAGGAACGCGCATCTGTTAGAGAAAAGCAGGCACGTTTCGATTCAGGAAGAGACTGGAGCACATGTGTGGAGGTGGTCGTCTGGTCTCTGACCGCGTGGGTGGCTCGGCTGCTCCCCCCGAAGAGAAGACCGGGAGCAGGGTCAGCACCCGGCCTGGCGCGGGGCGCCGAACGGCAGGTGGCCGACGCTGATTTATCACTCTCCTCTGCCCCCTCACGCAGGGAAGGGATGTTCCCACCGCGTGCTCTCCACACCTGGGGCATAGCGAGACTTAAGGATATCTTGTGCCGTTTGTGATTTTTTTCAGAAATATTTTATTTATTTTTAGAGAGATGGGAGGGAGAAAGAGAGGGAGAGAAACATCAATGTATGGTTGCCTCTTATGTGCTCCCTACTGAGGACCTGGCCTGCAACCCAGGCATGTGCCCTGACTGGGACTGGAACCAGCGACCCTTTGCTTCACAGGCCTGTGCTCAATCCACTGAGCCACACCAGCCAGGCCATTTGTGCTTTTTACAGGACTTTACAAGCACCAATTAAGAGATTCAATCCCCGTGATACCCTTTGTGAGACACACACTTCCAGTCTCATTTAATTGATGAATTTAAGACTAATAGAATTGGGCGTTTACTAACAAACTGTTTCACTTTGAAAGACACAATAGCTTGGTTTTGGCATCTTATTTATTCCTAGACATTTGTTGTTACCAAAACGTTAAAGCTCGATTCATGACAGCAAAAAGTCTAGCTGGGCAATTAGTTGCCCTGTGTCTGTTGGTGAGTGCTTCACTGTTTTCATACTGTACCGAATTTATTAAACGACAGCAGAGTCTCATCGCTTTGCCCACCGTGTAGGAAAGCACTGAGATTCCTGGTTTTCTGCGCCAGGATGTGAGGAAGGTCGGGGACCTGATCCGCGTTTGCTCACGGTTGTGCTGTGGGCGCCGTTTGGAGCCAATGCCGCCCGGGTTGGGTCCCCACCCTCCCGCCAGGGCAGCCCTGGCTCCCCAGTCTCTCCCAGGGCCCGGCGCTGCCCCGGTTCCCACTGCACCTCCCAGCCCGGCCCAGCCTCTGCCCACTCCGCACGGTGCTCCCTCTCCTGCCGCTCAGCTTCTGTGAGGAGAATCAATCTCTCTCTCTCTCTCTCTGATTTCCCTCTGCCCTCCAAGCAAGTCACAAAATTAAAAAGGAAAACGTCTCAGGGATGGAAAAGCAATCCCAGGGAGGTGCTGTGAGTCACTAGAGGCTCCCCTCTGACTGTGGGGCTCTGAGTGGCAGCCCCGCGCTGGCCGGTGCTCCCTTGTGACGGGCTCACACGGGGGGACAAGCCAGGCTTCGTTGTTTTTTTTTTAAGGGGAAAAATCAGTAATCTCTGTTAGAGAGGAAGCAGGATGAAGCTGGAGTTTAAAGAGAGTTCTAGAAGCCAGAGGCATGGGACCGGAGCAGCAGTCCACTTGGCCAGCTGTGCCCTCCACAAAGGCGGCCCCAGTGAGGACAGGGGGCAGTGAAAAGGTGACTCCTCGGCTGAGTCACCTTTGAACTGAGGAGGATGATGAAGGGGAAGGAGAGCGCTTGGGTCCCTCGGGCTGTGTCGCTTTTCAAACGGAAGGACAGAGCAGAGGTACGTCTGCAGCTGTAGGTAGAACTCATGCATCATATGTCTGTGGGGGTTTGCCAGTGGTGCTGCGGTGCGCCCCCCCGCCCCAGCTCACGGGCCTCGCTCCCCGAAAAGAGGTGGCACAGTGCGAGGCTCGGCGGGTGGGCGGGGCCAAACCGGGGTCTGGCACCGTTGGCCTCTCAACTCTAATGGGAAGAGAATTCTACTTTGGTGATTGTTCCAAGATCACGTACGAAGATGTGTTCGGAATTATTTCAAAGGCGTCGGTTCCCATGTCCCCTGCGGCATTGTTCACAACGGCCAAGATGTGAGGCCGCCCAAGTGTCCCTGGGCGGTGGGTGGGCGGATGAAGGAAACCCCATTGCTATCTACCCACCTGCCTACGTACCTACCTACCTGTCATCTACCTGTCTGTCTGCCTGTCTATAAATATTACTAAGCCTTCAGCCATTAGAAAGAAGGAAATACTGCCATTTTCACAACGTGGATGAACCTTGCGGGTGTTACGCTAAGTGGGGTAAGTCGGATAAAGACACATATGCAGAGTGAGGCGGGTGTTAAGTGCCCTTACGTGGAAATTTGCAGCACATACATGTGTCAAATCAACACCATGTACACCTGAAATTTACCCGACATTCTATGTCAATTACACATCAATAAAGCTGAAAACAGTGTGAGTTCAAATCAGCTGGAACGTCAAGGCCAAGTGGGAGGCCAACCCAGATTCCCTCTCGGGAGGTTCAGGGTCCTTGGTCCCACGCCTTCCGCAGTGCTGAGCACCTCGACATTGACCTCTGAGGAGAAACTGCCTGCCGTCAAGCACACGAGCCCCTGAAAGCCCTCTGCTGGACTGTCCCTGAGCGAAGATGTTGGAAACCCCACGAAACCCGTGGTCAACATCGAGGGGGCGGTGGCCTGTGGTCTTCCCCTGCGGCCAGGCCACCTCTGCGTGAGAGGCACTGACTGAGTCCACGGATGCACCAGCAACAAACGCCCCGGAGAGGGTCTGGGGACAGGAACTCAGAGAGGCCTCCGGAAATCCGTGACAGGGAGCACGGATCGGACCCCACACGGCCGTTCCTGGATGGGAGCAGGCGCAACCTGGGCCCAGCATCACGAGGAAGCACGCAGACCCTTCCCTCCTGCTTCACGCTCATTGCCCGCAGGGGCATCTTGATGACCTCAGTGGGTTTGGGGTGACACGTGGCCCAGTGGCCTCCTTGGGGAGGCTGACACTGTGCCTCTCTGCCACGGAGGCCGTCTCAGGTTGAAGTCCCTCTCTCCTCCCAGTCATGTGCCCCTCCTGCCCACTGTGCCACCAAAAATGCCACCAAATTCGTCAGAAAAGATGTACCCTTTGTGGAAATGGCCTGATTAAGTTTTACAGGCTCACGTCCGTGTGGACGCGTGGTAGCCTCAGGTCCCGCCTGCCACCTCGGGTCCCGGCTGCCCCCGGGGTCGGTCTGCCCCGTCCTCCCCTCCCCACTCCTCCCTCCTCTCCCTGCCCCGAGACTGGGCAGGGGTGTCTTTCCTTTGGTTTTGCCTCTGTCTGTCTGTCTGTTGATGGGAAACATTTCACTACTTCTTTTCGCACGCTGGTCTAAGGTCTAGTCGCCTAGAAGCAGGTGGATATTTTCCACGGGGAACGTTTCTCACGGACGACCATGTTTGGTGGGTCGACTCCCTCATGTGTCCCTGCCCTGGCCCCGACGATGGCTCAGGTCAGGAGACGGCCCCGGAGTGGGCAAGCTCCCGGCCTCTCTGCTTCTCCCCCACCACGCCCGTCCAAACGTCTTCGACGGCATAATCATACCAGACCGGACGCACACCTGCCACCCGGAAAGGAAGTCGCGTTCCTGGGTCATCACACTCTGCTGTCTGCCTCCCAAGACAGAGGTCAAAGGACCAGGCAGCCCTCGGAGATCACAACAGGAGTTCGACTTTTTCCAACACACAATCAACAACAATTTTTTTTCCTGATAGGAGCTGGGAAACTGGCTGATTCCCGGTGGGAGGGCCGCCCTGGTGTTTGCCATTTATTCCTGGGGGCTCCAGCCAGTCCCGAGTTTGGGTTCCTGGTTTTCTCACTCGGGATTTGAACACAAGCAGCGTCCCCGCCACGTGAGGCGCTGCTGCGTGGACTTTGGGGACATTCACATGGTGAGGGAGCAGCTCTCTCCCTTCTCCTCCCCCCTCGCTGTCCTCGCCGTCCCTGTCACCTGCATGTCCGTCCCTGGGGGAGAAGTCAGACCGCCCGAGACCCACCCTGTTGTCCTGGACACTCAGAGAGAAGCTTTCTTCACTCAACCGATATCCAGTAAAGTTTAAGGTGATTATTTTGTACCACTATAAAAACCGTAGATGCTCATTATGGAATATTTGCCAGACTCAGAAATATAAAGAGAAAAAATACCCAATTCTGTCTCCACACAATAACTGCTATTAGGATATTGGTGGTTGTAATTCCCAAATTTTATCTACTTTTAATTTTTAATTTTTACTGCTATTCAGTTGCAAATATTACACACATTCCCCCTACTTATTGGCTGGCACTTATTAAATTTTATTTTTAGTAAAACTATACATCTTGAAAATTTCATAATTCGTCATGTGACTAATATAGCCAAATGAAAATGTTTTCCTTGTATTTAAGTTTCCTGTTATAAACAATGTAATATTAATGGCTTTCCTATGTGTACGATCACGACCTCAGCACAGTTCTCTAGAGATAGAGTGGGAGAACCCGAGAGAACTAATGCTTGGGCTTTTCTGATACATACTGTTAATTTTCATCCGATTGACTGTTGTGAAGTCAGGGGGACAATTTTCAGAGCACGTGCTACGGATTGAAAGACAGTGGTGAGGAAGTTGTTGACAGTTTGCTAACTGCTCCATGTACCACGGACGTTCATCATCTCACTGAAGTGTGCACGCCAGTCTCCGAGCACCGTGCAGACCCTGCCGTGTCTCACGGGGGCAGAGAAGGGGACCGGATCGTCTCCCTGGGGAGCCCGGGGCCCCGGGGTGAGAGCCGGGGTGAGGGAGGGAGACAGGGAAGGGCGAGGAGGAGGGAGATGCCAGGGCCGGGGCTCAGAGGCAGGTGTCCACTGCCCCGGGCGTCACAGGTGGCCTGCCAGCCAGCGTCACACACCCAAGGGACTGAGCTTACTCACTGCCGGCTGGATGCAGCCCCTCAGAGGGCCGGATTTTAAATGCCCGCTGTTGTTTGAAGACAAAGAAGGGAGGCCCAAATGCTGTTCAGATCTTGAGCTGCAAAAATGTAGACACATCTGAATCTTCCATGCTGATTCCAAAGGCAGGCACAGACACCCACGTACGCTCGGCAAACGCAGCGGCGGCAGCAGGCTGGCTGCCACTCAAGTCAGCATCCCCCACCGGCTTCTCCGGGAGGCGGGGTGAGGGACCAGCACTGCTTAGTAAACTTCTCACGAGGGCCCGTGACTCTCAAGCGCCAAGTGCTTTTGCTGACCACAGCACACGCGGTAACACAAAAATAGCGGGGAGGTCACTTTGGGGCCATGAGTTAGCTTTATGATAAAATTTTTATTGAGTTTATCAGAGTGACCTTGGTAATGCAATTACACAGGTGTGGGGCGTGCAGCCCTGTAACGCATCGTCCGAACGCTGCACTGTGTGTTCACCACCCCAGTGCAGTCCCCTCCCATCGGCATTTACCACCGTCTTCCCTCCTCCGCCGCCCCCGCCCCTTCCTCTCCGGGCCTCACCCCACGGTCGTCCGGGTCCCCGAGGCTGGCTTTGCCTGATCCCTTCACCTGCCTCACTCAGCGGCCCCCTCCCCTCTGACAGCTGTCAGTCTGTCCTCTGTATCTGTGAGTCTGCTCCTGTTTTACGTTGTGCACATGTGCACAAGCACACACCAGTGTGCAGGCACACGTGTGTGCATGGGTACGTGTGTGTGCGTGCACACACGATCACACGTGTGAGTCCGTGCATGCCTGCGCTTGGCTTACGCCACCGGGTGCTGTGGACACTGCTCTTTAAAGTCCAGGCGCTTTGGAATGTCCCCAGACTGTAACTGACTCGGACATAAAAGTGCCTGCTGCCCGCAACCCCTCACAACCGTCCGCACAGCGCCCCCAGCAAATCACGGGTGCAGAGCAGCAGGGCTCCAGGGCTGTGCTGGGGACCAGGGGCACCTCTACCCCACGACAGCCCGGACACGGGAGAGGGTGGGGAGTCGACGTTCCAGGTAGCCGGGCACTGCCTCGGCCTCCCTGATGCCCGGCTGGGGGTGAATCAGAGGCCGGGACCTGTGGTGGGCAGTGTGGCCAGGTGTGTCGCCAGCCAGGGGCTCTGACGTGACTCGTTGCCATTGTGCCCATAACTCAGAACCACCAGCGGGGAAATTCTCCAAGGCAGATGTGGGAGGCGAACAGGTGAGTCTGAACGACCGCTCGTCTCCAAGGAAATGCTTCAGTGCCCCCTGAGTCGTGGAGAATCTGACGGATGCAGAAATGAAGGTGAATGATGACCTTAACGGCCTCACCACCACGTGCCCTGACGTCATCCGTGTCCGACGGGCTGCTTCCCGCCCCGCTGTGGGGCCCTGACCCGCAGGAGCTGCCCTGGGCTGGGCAGGGAGGCGCAGGGACGGTCCTCACTCTTGGCTCTTTCTGTTCACCTCTGAATCCCCGGACCTACGATGGTGAACGCGATGCCCCTCCGTCCATGTTTAATGAACAACGGACAGTGGAAATTGGGTTCTGATGCTATAATGAATTTCCTGTAAGACCCTACCCCCAAACTCTTCAGTGAGTATACCGGGTGCCATCTTTCCGTTTCACTGCATGTTTTCTAAAGGACTGACCGCGCGCCAGCTCTCGGGGCTTTGCAGCGTGAGGGCGGCTCCTCCTCGCCACAGCTCTTCCCTCACCCAGCACCAAAGGGTCCCCGAGTGCTTCCCACGCCAGACACGTGGAGGGGCCGAGCGCACCGCAGAGCACCAAACAAACCGAACCCCCTCCTCCTGGAGCAAAGAGAAGAAGGTGGCATCACCTCCGCCCGCCGAGCGGAGCAGCCAAGCTGCGCGTCTGAGGTTCCAGGACAGCCCCGGGTCCTAACGCAGAGCCACCAGGCCCCTCAGAGCTGGGCGTGTGCCGCCGCCTGGCGCTCAGGGTCCCCACTCTGCCTTCCTGGAGCACGTCTGTGCCACCCCTGCACTAGGGACAGAAGGAAGGTCCACGCTCTCTGGGCGACCGGTCAGCCCAAGCGGGTGCCAAGTGTGGTTGAGCAATGCCCGTCTCTGAAACACATTCTTCCCGAAGCCGCCAAGGTTAAAGGTGCCGTAACCACAAGCACATTCATTTGCAGTTCGGCGTCAACGGTAATGATGTAGGGCCATGATCGCCTGGCCTTTTCATGGCACCTCGCTGCGCTACGCCAGGGAGCAGGTTTCTGGTGGAACAAAGGCATCGGCTGCTGAGTTTGGCGCGAGCCTTTAACGCTGCCTCACGCAAATAATCTCCTTCGACTGCTGACACAGCTGGTGGGCTCTCGTGCAGAACATAGGAGGTTACAGCAGTGGGTCCCCAACAATGCCGTCCTGTGAAATGGGACCACAGGATCACTCTAGACTCGAGAAGAGTCAGCCCCGGGAAAGACATCCACGGATCACTTTGCCGCCCCCCACCACCAGCGCAGGGGCCACGAAAACGGCACTTTCTAAGGGAGGGGACGCCGTGAGGCCTCTCCACACCGAACAAACACCCCTGGACAGCGCAGCACTAACATCAGCTCCTGCAAGTCAGTCTGTGCAGAGAGACAGGCAAAAACCCGCCCACCGGGGCGTGGAGAAGCCCCTCCCCTCCACTTCCCTAACCAACTCCCCTCCTCAACGTCCATCACTTTGCCTCTCGGGCAGTGCAAAACGGACCTTTGGAGATGCCAGCATTCATTTCATGTTTGTGTTTCAGCAGCAGTCACACTGCCCAGGGCAGGTGACACACATCAATGTCCCCCCTTGATAAAAACACCGAACGAGATCTGTGTGACTTCGGAGTCACCGGGGAGGCAGGCATTGGTTGGCCGTGGTCTCCGCCAGGGCCTGAGCCACGCGCCCACGGCAGACACGTTCGGGTGGTCTTGTCCACTCAGAAAACTAAACTTAAGGACTTAGGAGGCACTGGTTAGGTTTTCATGCCGCAAGAAAAAGACGAAAGAGGACTCACTCCCAGAAACTGAGCAGCTGACGCCCCTTTGGGTGTTACTCTGCTGGTCAATCCAGAAGACTCCACATTTTGGTCATTTTGAATTAAAAGTCTTTGTGAAAGTTCTTAAAATAATCAGAATAAAAGGTGTCATTGCCTCTCCCCGGTCACTCTGGGAGAGTCGCTGGAAGTCGTGAAGCCCCTGCAGACCGGGGTTCGCCTCCCAGCAAACGTCTGAAGGGAGGGGACGCTTCCCAGAGTGAACTTGGACCTGCCAATTCCCTTTCAAACGACGGGTCACCTCCGCCAGCTCTGTGGTTCAGTTCTGACACCCTTCTGGCTACGGCTCGAAATCGCTTCCGGAGTCCGGGATGCCCAGAACATGGTGACACGGGGCACCGGCAACACTCGAACACGCCGTGCGGTCGGCGCGGTGCTGGGCCCGTCAAACGACCCGAGGGGTGCCTCCCCGACATCGAAGGGGACACAGGGTCACGACGAGAGCCTGCCACAGCCCCCTGGGGCCAGCCTGCTCCCTTTTTATTTTCTCACATGGGCTTTTCATACATTTACAATTACCGACAGACCAGGACTCCCTATGAAGCCACAGTATCTATCTGTCTGAGGAAGTGGAATTGCTTTTTAATGGAAGGATTTGTCACACGGTATCTTCAGACTCGCAGTCTCTTGACTTTCTCAGCCCCTCACATCCCTGGTTTCACGCTCGTCTCGATGCTAGAACGGTCCTGCTTCTTTGAGGCCCAGGAATTTCAACATGAAGTGCGCAGCGCTGACTGCGGCCTTTCCGAGGCCACGCCTGTGCGTGGGGAATACTCCCCCTGGCCTTTTCCAAAATCACAACTTCAGAGCACACGCGAGAGAAGAAAAAGAGACCGTGCCCATGACAATTACACGAACGTTGTTCAGTAAGTTGGATCAACAACATAATTAAAATAAAATAATTATTTGAGACGACACATGTTACGTGATCAAGTGGGATTCCCCTGAGGCCGGTCTTAGGCTGCACCCTCGGAGACGTGTGGAATCGCTGTTACTTTTAAAGGAAGAAATGAAACTGCCCGCACAACGCCATCACGCAGGGAAGGAAGAGTGGTCACAGGCGCCCTCATTCCGGTGGGGCGCCCAGAGCAGGAGCTGAGGTGCGGTTTTATGCCACAGGCACGCACTCATGTTTCTTCATTGTTTTCCATATGGAATGTGGGATATAAGCACAGTTCGTATACGAGTTACACTTTTGAGGTTGAAAGTCAAAAAAAGCCAGGCGAAGCGGCAACAGAAGATGGAGGGGAGCTCGCTGTGTTTGCAGCTGCGAGGACCCCCTACTCCAAGGCACATCCCCTTCTTTCCCAGAATGATGACCTCACGTTGAATTGGTAAAAACCCAAGTCTCATGCAAAATGACTACTGAGTCTAGTCCCGCGGCGACTTCAGAAGTCAGTCTTTCCTGTCCCCTACAATGTCCTCTCCAGGCCCCTGGTACAAAGTCAGTGTGAACTCCTCTCCCCGGAGGCCTGGGGAGGGAGGGCGCCCCTCCCCCGGCCCCGCCCCACTGGGGGGACGTGATGACCGAACATTCCGGTGCAGGGGCGCCAGGCTGGCTGAGTCGTCTCCCTGGGACGCTGGGTTAGAACAACGAGTAGACGCGTCTTCTCTTCCTGGACGAGGCTTTTAGAAGAGTAGCTAGAAATACGGAGATAGTAGGATGATGGCTGAATATAAAAATATCTGGAAATCACTCAGTATGCATCGAGTGTCTTGAAAGTCTGAAGCTTTGAAACAGAAGGAGAAGATCTTCGGGGGCGGTTGCTATGGCGATGGGAGCGATGCTGGTGGGGTTGTGGGGGTGATGGCAGAGGTGGGTGGAGAGGGGCTTGGGCGGAGGTGCGTGGAGCAGAGACACTGAATCGTCTGTGGAATCGTCTTTTGTAAACGCTACTACTGTTTGGATTCTTTACAAAGAATAATTGCAACTGAGAGAATAAAATACTCTCAAATATCAACATTTCAGCCATGAGTTATTAACATGAGACAAGCAAATCACAAGAAGGGGACCCCGTGGGTCGGTCCCCAGGGGTGCGCACGTGGTTGGGAAGGGGTCACCTCACAAACTCAAAACCGCAAGCCCGGAACACCTGGGGCACAGGGACGTGCAGGTGCTTGGAAGCACAGATACCACCGTGGCCCAGTGTGGCGTGGCCCAGAGACGTACGTGCGTGTCTGCACGATTGGGAGGGCACACCTGTGTCTGCATGCTCAAATGTGTACACACGTGTGTTTGTGATCAGGCATGTACCTGTGTGTCTACACAATCAGAAGTGTGCACACGTGCCTGCACAATTCAAAGGGTACACATGTGTCTGCATTATTGGAAGTGCGCGCATGTTTGTATGATCCGACATGTACACGTGTGTCTGTGGACGTGTATGTGCGTGTGTGCACGATCGGAAGGGTACACCTGTGTCTGCATGATCAGGCATGTACCTGTGTGTCTACACAATCAGAAGTATATACACATGTCTGCACAATTCAAAGGGTACACATGTGTCTGCATTATTGGAAGTGCACACGTGTGTTTGTATTATCGGACACGTACACATGTGTCTGTGGAAGTGTACACACATGTCTGCATGATCGGAAGGGTACACGTGTGTCTGCATGATCAGAATGCTTTAAAAACACATGAAGAAGTATGAACCGTGCTTCTTGTCGAAAGACTTTTGTAGCTCCATGTGCTTCACAAAGCAAGATGGCATCTCAGAAACTCAGGGAGGGGCGCAGCTGATCGGGGCTGCCTGCCTGACTTGGGGCTGCCTGCGTGGCCACAGTGTCCGAGTTCCTCCTGACCTGGCCTCCACCTCCAGGGAGCCGCCCCGGGGTTCCGCCTCATGTGGCGTGGGCAGCTCTGAGAAAGGCGGGTCACCTTCAAGGGTCCTCTCAGTCAGAGAGACCAGGACTGCTTCTGAGAGCTGTCAAAATGGAAGAGGATTAGAATGTATAAGGCCTCCGGATGTCAAGATCAAAGGCAGAGAGGCCACCGTCTTGGCAGCGGCGGTCGGCCTGTGCTGAAATGAGCCGCGTGGACTCCCAGGAAGCTGTAAATGGCTGGGGCATGGTGAGCCCTGGTGACCAGGCGAGAAACAGAGGCCGAGCACGTCCCAGCAACACGGAGGAGAGTGTCACAAGAATACTTCCGAAAAGTGGACCAGAACAATCAACCGGAACAGGATCATCACGCCGGTTGGGTGATTGTTTCTGATTCACAAAACACGTAGCGTCTCGCGGGAATTAACCCTCACCAGGCGGGGAGGCATCCTTCACAAAGACGGGGACCCCGGTTACAGGGGTTCGTTTGGGCAAGTCCAGTGGCCGAGGATGCAGCGGGGCTACCGCTGTGTCCCAAGCCTCTGAAGTTGTGGGACCTCCAGTAATACTGGTCCAAGGCCTAAGCCTGCACGTGAGCCTGCTTTTCCAATTCCAAGTCTGATGGTCTTCCCAATGAGCCGGCTCCCTCCGCCAGCGGCTGTCGTCCCTCCTGAAGTCACCCCAGAGGGCTGACCGGCACCATGGCTGCTCCTTCCTCCGCAGCCTGGCCTGCCGTACATTCTCCCTCAGCTGCGTGGGTCACCTGACCGGTGCCCCTGCGCCATCCAGGTCACTGCCCCCATTCTCAGCCACTGACCTGGACATGGGGGAGAGCAGGGGGCAGCAGGAGACATGTGATAAGCAGCTGGTGAGGGGTGACTGAGAGTTTGCAAGTCTGCTGTGGACTCTGAAGTTCAGGAGGTAAACAGTAAAAAAAAATAGTCCGCACAGAAACTCGCTGAAGGCCTTGTGAGGCTGTAGGGCCTCCTTGGGTTTGGGGTTGGCTCCATCTGGGTTCAGGTTCCAGGTCTGTCCCTTTCCAGCCATGGGACATCGGACAGCTGCTTAACTTGCCTGCACCTCTCTCACCACGAACGTTCCCGGGGGCTTCCAGAGACCAGTGTCACCTTCTCGTGGTGAACCTCGGCTTCCTCTTTGGTCCACTCGAACCCAGAACCGCACAGAGAAGGGAAATGGGGAGACGGAGCGTTAGCTAAGCCAAGGTCGTCGGTCGTCCGGATTCCTGGTCCAGACCCCCCCGATGACCACTCGGTCTTCTGCTGGAAATGGGCCGTGGTGCCGACAGGAACCCGACGACTCCAGACGGCTGTTTCTCTTCCTGCCACGGCCGTCGGCTGCTGAACATCGGTTGGAGGGTCCGCTCAGGTTAACAGTGCGTCTGGGGTGTCTGAGCGACTCCGTGAGTGAGCCGGTCCACCGTTTTGACGGCGGGCAGGCTAATCCATGGGCTCTGACGGCCGAGACGCAGCCCATCCTTAGCCCCAGCCCGTGACTGTGGCATTCAACCCCCTCGCACGAGTGGTGCGTTGTGGTGGTACCACTGCTCCCAGGCCGGATTCCCCGCCCACAGCACCACATCGCTGGGTGCGGGTTTGGGGAGAGACGCGGCGGTTCTCCACGACCCCGGGTTTCCACCACGCAGACGAATCCAAACCACCCGAGAGCCTCAATAATAATAGTGACGTGGGAATCAGTAGGAAGCAACGGGTTGGGAGAGTCTGTTTATGCCTCTCAAACAGAACCATTTTAAGTTTAAGTTACATAATTTAATTTTGAATTAGACAAAATGTCTGTGCTCATTCATCTGCTTACAAAATCCCGGAAATTAACGCTGAGCTGTACCAGGTCCCCACACCACTGCCCACACAGTTGGGTGATTTCCAAGTGCAGGTGGGTCCTATGTGAGGGGTGGAATTTTCAGGACGGGACCACCGGCTCTGCAGGGCCTGACAGAGCTCGGATTAACGGAGGTGTTGTGTGTCCCCTCGTCACAGCCATGGTGCCCAAACCTGGTGCCTGCAGACTGGTGTCCCCTGGGGGGTGGCAGCAACCCTGGTGGCATCTGTGTCTCTGTGTGCACGTCCGTGTGCGTGGCGAGAGTCCGCAGACCCGCCTGCTCGGCAGATTTCCAGACTGCAGTGCGGTGTGTCGCTGGCAGTCCCCGCCCGGGCTGTCCCTCGGCCCCGCAGGACGCCCTCCTGTCCTAACCGGGAGGCTGTGCTCTGGCGAGGTGGGCACACAGGTGTCTGGGCTGGACGGGGGGTCGTCTCAGGGTGCGCACGCCTAGTGAGTCACCGTGTGGTGTCCCTCCAATACACACCGTTTTGTTTGTCCATGACACCTCACTCGAGAGGAAGAAGACCAATTTAAAAGTGAAAAATAGAAACCCCAAGGCCCATCAAGGGCAGAATGGGAAGACAAGACGTGAAAGATTCACAGATGGGGGTCCTGTACCGTCATATCATCAGCGACGCCGATCGTGAACGCCCTGAGCTGATCTCACCATCTGGTGCCGAATGAAAGGAGGCGGAAGAGGACACACTGCGTGATTACATGTGTATGTACATACACAGAATCATAGGTGGAACAGTTACCATTATTACTCTCGTTATGGATACATGTGGCAGAAACGAGTTTTGTGTTCCACCTAATTTGCATGTGAAATGTAAAATGAACCTGTGTGATTGGCAGGCAGTTGGTTTTCCTTTTGTGTCTCAGCTGTGATTGGAGGGTCTCCCTGTATGGGGGGCGTGGTCTGCATCTGCAATTGAGCGCTGGCTTCGATGTGTGAGACGCCATTGAACTGACACTTCGACTCCATCCAATGCCAACACTGAACATGATCGAATCTGCGTCGCTGGGGGAGGGGCTCTGGTGCGGGGTGTGGGTGCTCACAGGGCTCCCCTGGGAAGGGGAGTCTGAGAACTACGTGATTTCCACACGCCTTAGGTGGTGTGTCAGCTCACACCAGTTTCAAATACACTAAGGTGTTACTTTGTTAAAGAAATATGGAAGGGAATAAATGACAATGTAACTGCAGGAAATCTGTGGAATTAGGAGGCATTTTGAACACAATTTGGGCCCTTATCACGACTCTGGAGCTCAGGGGGTGGAGCGTCTCCCCCTTCCAGACTCTGGCTTCTCTGATTGGGACTCAGTGAAGCCACGTGGGAGACAGAGAGGGACAACCCGCGGAGCCGTGAAAAACGAGGAAGTGTTTTAAAGCCCTATTGGGGGGGGTTGGATAGTTATACAGCTACATGGCTACCATGACCCCGATACCTCCCTCTGCAATCTGGAATGCTGACCGTGGAATTGCAAATGCGTTCTGCGGTCTGCGTGGTCTTTTAATGAGGGGAAGGCACATGACGTCTTTTGTTCTCCCGACCGTCCTGCACCAACAGCCTGCTGCTTCCTGCTCAGCTCCCTCACGGAGGACGCGGTGCCTTGTCTTTCAGAGGCTCACGCTCCAGTGAGGCCTTTGCTGGCCGAGAGCGAGGGAGGAACGCGGAAATTCTATACCTATATACTCCCCGCCCAGTGTGTGTGTTCGGGTGTATGTTTTGTAATGAATATAACGCACATAAATATGGGGGCGTTACATGCTTACAGCTGGTACTGCTAGGCGTTGGTAAGGAAGCACCGGAGTCTAATTCCTTAAATTGTATCGCACCCTGAGCCGAAGCTGCCTCCAGGCCGAGCCCACGCCCACCTCACAGAGCCGGCGTCGGCACTGAGCTGCAGCTGTGTCGAGCAGTAACGTCCTGGATAAATAGCGAAACAAGTCTCCATTTGAGCACTGGGTCCTCACCGTCACCTCTGCCGCTGTCTGGTTCTGTGGCCCTTAATAGCCCCCGGCCTCTGCATTTCAGCAGCAGGAGAGAACTAACAAGCCTCCCCCTCCCTGTCCACTTGCAAACGCCCGTGAAGCGCTGTATATGAAGCACTTTGCAAATTGTAAATCACCAGGTACAGGTGGAACTCATCAAATACGAAGGGTCAGGCTTTGTTTTCCCTTCAGAACTGAGTATCCCATGATTGTACCTGTTTTCAACAAGAATGAACACTACAGAGTTCTCCGAGTGAGTCTGTATTTGAGAAAAATGACCTCTTTCCAGTGAAGGAGGGACGCAATAACACTCTTCTTCACGGAATGGAGGTGAGGAGAAGGGGGACTTATTTTATGCTGGAGGGTTGTTCAGAGTGGAGGTCAAGTTTGAACTGGCTGAGAAAGGCTGGCTGAGGAGGGGGCCACACAGGGGCAGACACTCCCATGGACGGAGGTTTGGGGGCCGGGAAAATCGGGCAGAGGTCTCGCGAGCAGGACAGCCCCACAGGAAGGACCCCACCAGGCTCACGACCCAGGTGGAACTGAATTCATTGGAGAACTTCCGATGTTTGTGGAAGGAAAAGGAATTTGAATGCCTGATGAGACCGTGGCCCCTCCCAGGAAACAGGGTCTGTGCAGGCCTCGGCAGAGTCAGAGCAAAGGCGGAGCCAGCTGTCTTTACGAGGGTCCGGGTGCATAGGAGGCCACGTCAGTACCGCTCTCGGGCAGCGTACAGCTGACTCCTGGAAGCCAGGACAGCAGTGAGGAAGCTTCTAGAAAAGTCTCAGGGGGCTGAGGGGACCGATAACCGTGACACTGGACAAGAACGAACGGCTGTATCTTGAGATAAAATACAGCCCACATTGTAAAGGCTCCGATTTCGTCTCACGCAGCATCGCCGGGGCTCTGCTCCCTAACGATCCCCAGCTGGCCCTGGCCGTGTGTGGAGCTGGGCTCCCTGCACCAGCAACGCCGGAATGGTGCGTGCCTGTGCCAAGGGCACCCGGGAAAAGAGCGTCAGCTTCAAAACCCGGGAGCTTTGTGCGCTCAGTATTTAGCACACGTTTTTTAAAAGCAGAAAGTGCCCATCTGGGGCCTGATGCTCTGCTGTGATTAACGCACTTAACGCTTAAAACTGGGTCCTAATAATATCCAAAAACCCAAAAGTATTTGGGGTCCTGGATCACCCCACGAAGTCTGGGGGCTGACTCTGAAAGTCCAGCCCCGTATTTGAACAGGTCCACGGCACGCTCCCCAAGTGCCAGCCATGCAGCACACACGTGGGTGGCACTACCATGGCCACCCAGGACCTACGTCCCCTGGATGCAGGCAGGAAATGGACGCGGCATGCACAGAGTGCCCAGGAGCTCATCTCAGCCAGAGACGCACGCACTGAAGATGGTCACGAGCCTGAGAAGGGTGACAGACAGGGCCACACAAGGGACCGGATGGGGACACCCCAATGGGATCTGAGAGGAAGCCCCTCCAGGCAGGTGACCAGTCTGAGGCTGTCATGGGAGGGGCCAGCCATAGAACGTTCTGGAGAAGTCTGTTGCAGGCGCCTGCACAGCAGGCAGACAGGCCCGGAGCAGGGCCCCTGTGAACTTCTCAGAGCATCGGAAGGAAGCTGGCGCCGGTGTCCTGAGCGGAGGGGCCTTCTGTGCAGCAGAGGTGGGAGGTCGTCGGAAGTCAACTTGCCCGGTGTCTTGCTAACCACGGTGCGTAGCTCGGTCTGAAATCGCAGGACAGGCCGACGTGGGAGAAGAAACACTCATCAGTCACCCGAGGGGCTTCCACTTGGGGGCACAGCTACTCCGGGTACTTCAAAACGAAAACGAGACCTGGCATTGTCACCTCCATGGAAAGCTAGACACCCATCCCCTCAGGGATTCACTCTGAGAACGCTGTTGCCCACCTTCCCTCCCCGAAGGACCCACGTGCTCACAGAACACCTCATCTGCATACCGAATGCCGCCTGTCCGCGCGGACAGGGCGGAAGACGTTGTCCTATGTTGCTGTCAGCCCCAGAACTCAGCTTCATTAGGGTTTCAAAATCAATTACCTTGCAGGGAGATTGGGTAATCATGTAGTCACCATCATCAGTAGGCATGGCATTAAAAATGGTGTTTTCAGCATTTCTAAATTGGGCCATCTCTATTAGAGATTGCAGAGATGTCACTTGGCTTAAAAATACAGC